ATGCTGAGAATCGAGATAACCTTTCGCAAATTACGTGTCGAGTATGTTTCAATTCCAAAATTTCTTCATCGCGAACGCGTGTTTTTTCCGATTTTCCTTTCGAGGGCATTTTGGTTGAAAATGAGATAAATGACGTGATTGTTTCGAGATTTTTCTTTTTGTTTCGATTCGAGAAAAGTTGAATCAACAAGGTTTTTTGTTTCGTGTTGTTTTTCGAGAAATTTGCTTTTTGCATAGAACGAGCTCACCGTGTTTTTCCGATTCGTTTCGTGTTTCTCGAGTTCCAAAGGCTGTTTTCTTTCCTTCCGATCCTATGTCTGTTTGAATTGGCTGCGAATCTTCATAGAATCGGGCTCGACTGGACCAAATGTAGGGGTTGCTGACGAAGGACCACCCTGTTTCCAGGGACGAGATTGACGACAATTCGAGTGGATTGTAATTACTGTTTTATTTTTAAGAAACACTTAGAAAAGAAGAAAACTTAATAACAAATTCTGTGACGGCGCGCTTTGCTCTTTTCGACTTCTCGCCCTCGCTCCGTCTCGCTTTTTTCTTCCGACCGTCTCTGTTGGCGTCTCGCAAAGCTCTCTCGGCTCTCGTCGTGCCGCCCCGCAGTCGCGCTAGGTTCGCACTGTTAGCCTTGTTGCCGAGTCTTTCACAAAGTCCAACACCCTTCTTTGGACAATACATGTTCGTTATTCTAGCCAAACACTAACACAATAAAGATCGTCATCTTAGAATCTATTAACACTCCCTCACTAAAGTATTATGGAATCACATAACTATCTTTTGTTTTCAGACGGTTGCCTTTCGAGGACGAAAGTTCTACAGGATGGATACAAAAGCAGTAGTCCCAGGCATTTTATCCTTTACCGGCGATATACTCAAGATTATACACTTTTTGTGCTGTGTTAAAAACATAATATAGACCTGTTACCTTTTGTAGGAATAAGCCGAATTCATTCTCATTTTTCTTGTCGTATCGATAGTTCTGTTCTGGAGTTAAATAATGTTAATTGAAATACGAGTGTTTGAGTGACTTATATATATAAGGTAACATTTTGATCAATATGCAAATTTAGAGGTTGACAATTGAGAAATTTCAAAATTATCTCTACTCTTAGATTCACGTCGTGATACACAGACCTTTATTATTGTTAATTAACTTATAAAGGAACATTGATAGATATATTCTGATGCCCACATGGTTTTCGAATTCAAAAAAGAAATTATTTATATTAAAGATAACTTTAACATATTACAATCAAAGTCTCTTCAAAAATTGGGTCGTCTTATTGAGTCTAGTTTGCAGTTTAATAAAATATCGCCTAAATAGGATTGTATTTGTAACTTAAAACATTATATTTGCATAAACACATTTTAAGTACTCAAACTTTGTGACAACCATGTACTCTCTTAAGTCGTTTATTGAAGAATAGTTTACTGGCCAGCTATAATAAATAGGGTAAAGCGACCCTTCAAAGACTTCAAAGCTTATGTATACGATGTTGCTATGTACTGCGCAATTAATTTAATTTAATTATTATAAAGGAAATTAAATCGGGTACCGATCATTGCATCGCGTCCCGTCCGTTTAAGAGTCCTTTTAGTTAAAATGCCGTGAAATTATTATAACAAAATTTCCTCACGATAAAAAATTATGGTAACTTTAGCCTTCTCAGAAAGTTTTACTATTGTGGGTATGACCTATACTGCATGCGCATTTTTTTTCGTTTTTGTTTTTTTTTTACTTTTTGTTCTCGTTCTTTTCCAGGTCGGTTATTTTGAAAAGCGTATTGAATCACAACTTCCAAATCTTCTGTAACGTAAATTGTTGTAACTGTTTTAAATAAAGGCATTATTTATTTATGTACCATAAGTAATTATTTAATTAATTTACCCAGAAACCAATAGACCAATTGATGGTACACATTCTCCGCTGCTACTGTGAAAAAGTTGGAACCAACCTAAAAAGACAGCTTCGAAAATAAAAAAAAAAACGGGCGCAAAGGATTTTAAACGTATATGACTATCGAATAATAAGTGACGGTGCGTTTAACAATAACTTGGCCTCGTTCCGCTTCCGGAGGCCAGCAACTTCATTTCCGATTTAATTAAAGAAACGAAAAAAGGCAAAACCGAACATATGTATCCCATCCAAGGTCGGATATTTTAGAACGCGCTGTGCGAACTCGTAACCCGTTTAAGGCGAGATTATAATATCTGCCTGTCCAAGCAAACCGAAGGATGGATGAGGCGTTTTTCTTTTCCGAAATAAAAGGCAACATTGGTTTATTGTTTATTGCAATTGTGCCTCACACGATAAAAATAGTCGGCATTATTCAATATCTAACAGCACCAAACTTCTTTACTATAAATGTATATTATTTTATTTTTCGATTTCTGAATAAATTCTATGGTATGTTCCTTAAGATATGCTTATACCTAATCCCAATAGCTCCTTAAATAGCTTTAATTACTTATATACATGGTACCCCAGTCAGGAAACCGGACAGTAATAAAAATTTGAAAAAAAAAGTGACAAGAGCAAATTATTTAGTAGTATGTGAAATGGCCATCAAACGGCGTAATTGTTATCTCAAATTGTAGAACGATTTTTTGTTTAATTTTGTTTGCTCTATTTCTCCATAGAAAGTGGTCAAACATAAATGTGCATACCTCCAAAAAGGCTTGATACATTTTAATAGTCTTTAGAAAAGGCTATGAATGGTTGCTTGCCTCCCTCCAGATGGAGCTTTCTGACAAAATCGCACAAAATATAATTTCCAGTGTAGTTTGTACTATAGGGTTGTCAATGACTTCTAATTATTTCGAATTTGCTAAATAACACGCTAGTTTATTCTTTAGGATGCCAAATAACATTTGAAAACAAAATAAAAAGCAGAGTAGATCTCTTAGATGTCTTACGTAGTAGCAACGGGGTGAAAAATCTAAGGGCTGCAAATCGGGTGATCTGGGCGACCAGAGTTTCTTAACACCTTTGACATAAAAAAAAACTTTGTCAAAATCAATGCTAACTGGAAAGATCTTTCGGTTTTGAAAAGCATTAAATTATGCATCGTATCATATACCTGGTGACCTGTTAGAAGTATCTGGCGATTAGATCAACGGATTTACCTTAAATTATACACGGTGATGTCAGAGGAGGTGATCTATGGCTCTAAAATATTTTCAAGAATGCAGTGCTGTCGTTTCTATATGAATGCAATAAATTCACCATTTTGTTCAGATTTCCATTTAAATATCTTACTTTTGTCGAAATAAAAAAAACAATATATTTCATTGAAGACCCTTGAAGATATCTTAATACTTCCATGCTTCACTCCTAGATTTCGAAAATGGAAAAGGGTATGCCAGGAGAGACGAATTTGGAAAAATTCGTCCTTCTGTTTACTTAAAGAACGAGCCTATTGAGATTTAGGAAATTATTCATTAATTATATAACAGATGGCGTTCCTGTATAGTGGACGTGCGTCACATCGATCTTCGAAATTTTTAGGTGGCCAAATATTCCTGTGTACATTTTATAGCAAAGTGGTCATATTGCTTTTTGAAAGGGCCGGTATAAGCGATAACTCTATTGACCCTTTTTTTAAAAACACTTCAAACCAAAATATTTCAAACAAGGAAAAAAAAGGACATTTTCCACGTAAACGCGAGTGAGGATTTTTTTAACAAAATTATAATACATTGACGTATAAAAAGCTTTTGAAATTGTGAAAAAGACATACTGCGACTCAACAAGTAAGAGCTAAATTAAAACAAATTTTCGTGTTTGTAACTTTTCACCTTAAAAATAACCCCGTGGAATATCAAGGGCTTATTAAATAACACCGCTATACTAATAAATATTTCTGTAGACACAATATTCGCAACAAATGATATTTAAATTTGAAATAACAAAAAAACAATAATTTTCAATAATATGTCTGTCAAATTATAATATAATATGTGTCAATACAATTACTAGCCAAGTCTCTGTAAAAAAATTGTATAAATTTGAAATTTAGAAATGTTCTATAAATAAGAGATGGCTACAGTTGGACATATACAGCAATTGAATAGCACTTCCGGTATTGAAATTATTCTGTATGTAAGCTATTATCTTGATTCGATTCTACAGGCCGTCGTCGGTTGTAATTGCTTCCTAACGTTTCGCTAGCATGAGTGGCGCGCTTCTTCAGAGGTCCTTCCATCTCCGATGTTAGACGTAGACTGACGATTTCTTCTGCGCAGGTTGTATTTATGCCGATTGGTGGTGCGCAGAGCTGGTTCCGCTTCGGTTAGTCGCGGGATATCGATCAGTACTTCTCGGGCGTTCTGATGGATAGTGGGCGTAGCTTGTTGCGCTTCGGGTGGTCTCGGGATATCGATCGATACTTCTCGGGCGTTCCTAAGGATCGGGTACCAGATTTGGTTGAGTCTAAGGGTCTCCTCCTTTCTGTTGAAATTGTGTGGGTGTTTTGTATCTCAATGACTTCCCTGACCAATCTGTTGTGATAGCCATGGACTGATGCTAGTAACTTACAGCTCTCAAAGTGTATCCTGTGTTTCGCGCTGCTCAATGAGTGTTCAGCTACTGCAGACTTCTCTGTCTGTCCTAGCCTGCAGCTTGCTTTATGCTCCTTAAGTCTCGTTCCCATTGATCTCTTGGTAGTTCCGATGTAGACCTTTCCGCATGAACATAGAATGCGGTAGACTCTTGCAGCTCAAAGTGTGTCTCTCTTGTCCTTCGCTGACCTGATAGTCTCCTGGATCCTCTTTGTAGGCTTGAAGATTGTTTTGATGCCAAGTGTTTAGCCAAGTAATATGTTGGTGATGCGGGTGTGCTAACTATTGGTCTTAACGGGACATCTACTTTGTGTATCTTAGGTAGTCCATAGAGCCTTCTTGATTTCTTCTGACAGTAATGATGACTTGATGAGCCGGTTGGTAAGACGTAGTCTAGCATGCTTATCCCCTAGCTACAAACCCCTTTTTCAGGGGTTTGTAGCTCCCGGGTCCAAGAGTTTCTCAATCTTCCTTTCGTAGCCCTCGGTCTTCGGAAGAACGGTTGCGTTTCCTTTATCTGCTGGAAGTATGATGATACCCTCATCCGTGTTCAGACTCCGCAGTGCCAGTCCTTCACTTCTCGTCAGGTTGGTCTTGGGTAGTTTTACCCTCCTGAAGATGTTGGCTGTCTCAATTCGTATCTCTTCGGCATCCTGGTCCGATTGATTCTTGATGGCTGCTTCCGTGCTGGAGATGATCTCTTCAATCGGAATGTGACGAGGAGTGATTGCGAAGTTCCCTCCTTTGGTTAGCACTGTTCTCTAGACCTCCGTGAGTACTCTATCCGTCATATTGACCACGAGTCGCTCACGGTCTAGGTTTGCTGTTTTGGGCGCTTGTTTTTTCCGAAACTTCTCGTATTTCCTGATCTGTTGCTCTTTTGTACGGTCCAGTTCGTTTCTCATGTTGGAATGTGAGATTGCATCCATTCTGATCCAATTCTGTTGTTCGATCTTGTTGCTCAGTGTCAAGCGCAGGTCAAGAAGATCCTTGTCCGTCTTCGCAAGGCTACGACGAGTGTGGTGAATTTGTTCCCGAAGAAAGGCTTTCTCAGTCCTAACGTAGATTCTGTTTGCCTTCGCTGATTGGAGAATTTGTTTCTGTCTAAGGAATGCTGGTATGATGTTGGGGTCCCGGCAGCGGCACAGAAACGCTAAAGCGGCGAATAAGTGCGCCTTTTGCTTCCTTATTTTCTCCAGTCGTTGATACTGCTTACATTTTTCCTCCCTGCAGAGGCGTTAAGGCTTTTGCGGCCCGTTGATAAGTTATTATCTTGATTCGGGTCTAAAGGCCGTCGTCGTCCAACCAATATATGTATATATATATATATATATATATATATATATATATATATATATATATATATATATATATATATATATATATATATATACATTTCATTATATAAAAATCTTTGAAATATTTTAATTAAAGCGGATAATATACTGAAAACACGAAGATCGTTAAACGATGATTTATTCGGAAGTGGTTTCCCAATTGACATTTCCCATTGATTAAGAAAATAGTTAATCTTCAGCGACAGTAAATGAGCATTCATGAGGAGATTTCATCCACACTCGTGGCGTTCGTTTTAATATTATTTGAAATGTTAAGGAGTTGAGAAAAGTGGCAGATTAAATGAAAACTTAATTCAATCAGAAAATATATCATTTGCATAAATAATCCTACTCTCGCTGTAGTTGGTAAAATCTAAATATATTTGCGATGACTGGTGATAATGGAGAACCAATAGTTGTTTCTGATATTTGTTCCTAAATGTGACCGCAATTTAATTGTGCATGCACCCTGTATAAAACGTCCTTCACATCTCGTCAAACTTCAAAGTTACAGCAAACATGGGTAAATTTGCACAAATAATAGTGTTGTCGAGTGATATTTTTTCAAATATCTCGCGCCTTGTATAAATGACGAAACCTGAAACTCTCACGACACGGTTTATGATTCTGTTCAAATAAAATTATCCCTCCTTTAACGGTTTTTCATTTATCGCCAATAATTTAGCCGCAAAAACGGAAATTTTTAGGATATTTTAGATTTTTTCCCATAAACGACACACCCTGTATATGATACAATCATTGTTCGAAGTAGAAGTTATAGTCCTAGCTTTTCCACGTGTCCTCGTTCAAGAATTTTTTGAAAATAGTAAATGGTTTTCGAGAAAATATTTTTTTTCTGAAACCGTGCAGTGCGCCGAATCGAAAAAATGCCTGAAATAAATGTTATTGCACTGGATCTTCTGCGTCTGCCGGTTAAAGAATTTTGCAAGTCGGATGACCGATTATGGAAGAAAACATATTTTTATGAAAGCTAAAATTACCAAAAAAAATATATATATATATATTTATAAAATACTTGGTAATATTTGATTGCGCCCAATTTCTACAATTTAAATGTGGACACAGACTTTTACTTCTCTGCTAAATTTGAAGTTGATATCTGCAAATTTAGGTCACTTAACACATTTCTCATTTAGCAAGGAATATCAGAAATACCCTGTACAATAGCTGAAAACCTAAAATACAAAAGTTTATGCTATTCATGCGGGCTATATCGCAATATAAAAGAAAGTGAGATCTGAATCATAGTCTTTCAGTTATAACCAGTTTTCAATAATAGGGGGACCCATTTTTAATTTTTTTTTATTTTGCGGCGCACTCTGTATATTTTTGAAAAATTGTCACGAATAAAAGCTTCTTCTGGTCCAAGAATTTTTTTGGTCTCGTAAAAGGTTTTTGAAAAATGATGTTTTTTGTAGACCCTTACACGCGCGATTTAGCGCCCCCATTTTCAATAGGTTCCGTCACGGGGCAAAGCATATATTTGCCAAATATGAAGTCGATTGCTGTAAATTTCGGACACTTATCGTGTTTCATAGCAAGGTCCAAAAAACAAATCGCGAAAAAAAGATGGATACTGGCGTCGGATCAGGATCATTTTTTACAAGCTTATGTGTCTCGTGGAGGGTTAAAAAGAGACAAATTTCAATTTTATAGATCCAACGGTTCGAAAGTTATTCAGGAAAAACCAATAGACGAGAACGGAGGACGGACAGACGAGAATTTTTTTTTTTTTTCGACGGTGATCATTTCTGTACCAACGGCGATCCCATAGGACCTACCGTTACCGAGATATAACATTTTTATGTGAGCGCAGATACTTTAGAAAATTCAATTTCATAGATTTTCGAAAGTGACAAGAACCAAGAACCTCGTTTGGATCTAATATAATCGTTTTTAATTTCGCTATGAAAGTTTTTAATATAGAAGCTAGACATTTTGCTATAGAATAAGTTGAAGAACCAATGGTAGTAATATATCGAAAGGAAAATCCTGGTTTGTGAATCTTAGTGAATGCGTAGAAACGAGGGAGTTTAAAGTCACGGATTCTAATAATGAAGAAGCCTTAATAACAGATTTAAGGATGCATTCCGTTACAAAATTCACTTCATCACAACCTTCTGAAGAAAATAAATCCCAAAGCAACCCTACACTTGGCAATGCCTTGCCATGCTTACATTGCAAAACATGACTGACATATCAAAAGTATCAAAGTATCAAAGTATCAAAAGTATAATATAATAAAGTTGTTTATTTATTTTAATTCAATGTGTTTCTTTCTGTGTTAATTGTTTGTGAACCACTGTTTCCATGTGTGTGAGTCGTTTTATATACATTTTATTTTGGATTGTTTCACAATTTTGATGATTGGAATATAATATAATGCTTCATAATGCTTCTCCAAGTTGACTCTAACTGTCTAGATACGATTTATCCTATATTATATGACTGATCTCTTTGTTAAATGTAATTTTTAGATTATTTTATTCTGAGGAAGGTCACATTTAGACCGAAATGTCAAATAAAAAAAGTAGTATTCTAATTTTTGCCAGTTCCATAACCAGACCTCAACAAGGTCCGCTCACCACCAATCGGCATAACTACAATCTGGGCAGGAGAAATCGTCAGTCCAACATCGGATGGTAATTTTAGCTTCCATAAAAATATGTTTTCTTCCATAATCGTTCATCCGACTTGCAAAATTCTTTAACCGGCAGACGCAGAAGATCCAGTGCAATAACATTTATTTCAGGCATTTTATCGATTCGGCGCACTGCACGGTTTCAGAAAAAACTTATTTTCTCGAAAACCATTTACTATTTTCAAAAAATTCTTGAACCAGGACACGTGGAAAATCTAGGACTATAACTTCTACTTCTACTAACTACAGGGTGTGTCGTTTATGGGAAAAAATCTAAAATATCCTAAAAATTTCCGTTTTTGCGGCTAAATTATTAGCGATAAATGAAAAACCGTTAAAGGTGGGATAATTTTATTTGAACAGAATCATAAACCGTGTCGTGAGAGTTTCAGGTTTCGTCATTTATACAAGGCGCGAGATATTTGAAAAAATATCACTCGACAACACTATTATTTGTGCAAATTTACCCATGTTTGCTGTAACTTTGAAGTTTGACGAGATGTGAAGGACGTTTTATACAAGGTGCATGCACAATTAAATTACGGTCACATTTAGGAACAAATATCAGAAACAACTATGGGTTCTCCATTATCACCAGTCATCGCAAATATATTTAGATTTTACCGACTACAGCGAGAGTAGGATTTTTTATGCAAATGATATATTTTCTGATTGAATTAAGTTTTCATTTAATCTGCCACTTTTCTCAATTCCTTAACATTTCAAATGATATTAAAACGAACGCAACGAGTGTGGATGAAATCTCCTCATGAATGCTTAAACTGTGGAGTTCATTTGTAGATAAATATATAATACACATCATTTAATGTCGCTGAAGATTAACTATTTTCTTAATCAATGGGAAATGTTAATTGGGAAACCACTTCCGAATAAATCATCATTTAACGATCTTCGTGTTTTCAGTATATTATCCGCTTTAATTAAAATATTTCAAAGATTTTTATATAATGAAATGTATATTTCGTAGATAATTTAATTATATCAAAAACTCAATGCGGGTTTAGAAAGACACCTGCTGCCCCGTATGAATGAGATAACGACATTTAGCGTACTTTTGATAAGATGAACGGTATCCTATTTTGTTAGATTTTTTATTTGATGGTTTTTGATAATCCGCCTTCCCTTCTTATAACTTGCTATTCAGAGAGCAGGTTTCAGTGTAATAATAATTTATCTGATCTGGTACATGTTACATCTGAAATTGCACAAGGTTTCATCTTAGGACCCTTAATTCTTTCTCGTTTATTCATCGGATATTTTTAAGTCACTGCAAACTCAAATTTATTTTTCTTTTAATAGGGAAGATTTCTTGAAAGCTATTAAATTCATTAATGACTTACAAATACTAAATGATATTTCTAAAAACACAACTTGAAACTTAATTCTGGGCAAGAATAAAGTGGATTTTATGAAAGGCAATATTGAAATTTCTATAGGCAATACTAAAATGATAAGAGTGTCATGTAATTGATGAATTTGAGATGAATATTTTTCTCTCCATTACGTCAATCGCTGGGGCTCTTTGATACACCTACGCTTGATATTGTGCAGAAATTTTCTTTTAATATCGGTTGCAATGATTCAAGTGATGCATCATCATTCCTTTCTAGTGAATCATTATCAAGGAAGCGACCTTGGAATGCCAGGTAACTCCAATGTCCTCCCAAGACCTGCAGACAAATTTTGCAATAAAAAATATATATGTTTTTTACTAGCAATTTATAGTCATATTTTTTTTCGACAATTGTTATTGTATAACGCTCTGTTTATTTTAAAAATATAGAAAAATAGAAATGCGTCACTACAATTAACTATAGTCTACGGTTTTTTTGCTACTAGTATGAGATTAACCACTTTGCAATAAACAGGATACAATAAACCGTGCAATTTACCATTTATCGCCGCAAATATTTCGGTATCTGGCATTGGTTTGTTTATGCGTTTGTAATAATATATGTTTTTGCCCGCCACACGCTTTTTTTCCGCATCAGTTTAAATGTCCATCCGATCCGATATTAGCGAATATAATATACTCTCAATTAATAGATAACAACAAACACAAAGAAATTTCCCAATTGTCACTAGTAAAAACTATCAAAAACAAAGCTTCTAAAAATAACATAATATTTACACGTGCAGATAAAGGGAAGACAGTCATAGCTATCAATCTCCGAGAATATATTTGAAAAACCAAGAATTTTCTTAAA